CTATATTCCGGGTCACATATGAGCCAAAGGCATGAGAGAGCTAACAATTTGCTCGTGTTTGGCTCATTTGAAAATGGCTATGTTCGTGTTTGACGGTCTCCCATCAATGCCAAATTCATGAACTCTCAATTGATAATTTATGCATTGAAAACATAATCACTAATCCTATAGCTAAAGCATTGCACTTAACAACGACCAAACCTTCACAAAATTTGCCCATTGCGAATCTATTCTAAGCTCGAGCCTCGTAAAACTTGCCCCTTTTCACAAAAAAAATTAATGATAATGCCTACATCATCACCCTCCCTCCGGAGTTAAAACATTTCATTAACATTCAATGCCAACATCTATCCCTACTCGGCTCTTTTGCAGGACCAACTAACATGTTCTATACCAGCATTCTGTTTTCCACAAAGCACCCGGTTCTAGCCATACATTTATTCATGCCATTGCGCAAATATATGTATGTGTTTGTGAAGCTAATTTTAGAAAAATACTCTATTATCTTCTTTTTCTCAATAAGAATATAAAAACCAATATAGCATCTTCTGTAGAAAATAATGTGGATGAACACCATACACAATACATTATATTTTCAATTAAAAAGTTGCATAGTAGGATCACCTCTCCAGTTTAAAGAACCCTTATTAATACAATTATATATATTAGTCAGAGACTATGCATTGGTTTGAACTACAGCAAAGGGAACAATATTAAACTTATATGAATATGGGAGAGAGGCAATTCTAATACGATTGGATGTACAAATTAGGGAAAAGTTTTGAGAAAAATGAATTCTTCACCTTAGCAGTCAGGTAATATATGCCATAGCAAGGGATGTGCACCAATGCTATGGCTAAATACCTGCAATTAGGGTCATCATTAGTTTTATTTGATATGCAGATGAAGGCATGAGTAAGGAGAAGGTATACGAAGCTCACCATAATGGCGCCCAGGGAGTTGAAAGCTCCATGAAAGGATAAGGCCACCTGAAAATGAACCATTTAAAACAGTCATGAAAAATTCAGGACAAGTCTGATATCATAAGAAATCATCATCATTAGCCTTATTCTAACTATTTAGGGCTAGCTTTATGAATCCTTAGTTTTCATTCATTCCTGTGGAGTTCTGAGTTTGAAAGGGGGATAATTCTCCTGAGTTTCAATTTTTATTTTTGAACTTATTTCACTCAAAACAGTGAATATCGATCAAAAAAGCAATGGGCCAATCAATATTTAAATACAACTAAATAGTTGCGTATCTCGGCGACAAGATAGTTGTTTGGAAATAAAGTCCCTCAATATACTATTTGAAATGTTAAACTTCTACTATGTAAATCATTTTAAATTGCCTCTAGCATAGGTCTAAACTTTTTCCTTACAAATATTCTAAAACTAGTTTTATCTATTGATCTAATGAGTGCATTTTCTATTTTTGTTGTGCGCATTTAAAATATGGGGCATTTACATAGCAAGCACATAATTCTTATGTATTTATATATCTCACACCAAAGCTTTCGTATTTTGACACAGTGCTCATATCTTTAATATCACGTCAAAAGTAACACTATTATCATTTTTTAAATGTGAAATAATTTTTCTCATGGATAGATTAAAAACATCAAAGTGCTGTATGTAAAATGAAAGTTTAGGTGCGAGAAATGTAAATATGAGAATTGTGTGCGAACATGTAAATTTCTCTCAGTTACCTTATCTTTTATCACTCTAATTGCTCTCTATTTAGCAATGATCACTTGTATCAGTGATCATGAATGGATTCAAAGAAGATTTTGTATTTCTAGATACCAAAAAGATAGAGCAACAAACATTTTTATTCACTATGAGCATAAATTAAATGAGAATAATTACTCACCAGTTAAGACCACAGGCATGCAGGACCCACTGAAAAGTCAAATATGAACAGCTCCAAAGAACAAAATATGCCATTCCAAACCAAGGAAAAGGCTGAAACAAAAAATAACTTAACCGTGGCAGAAGAGTATGCTTGAATTATAACTAAAACATAGTAAAAGTGCTTACCAGGCGATTCACAGCAGTGTCAATAAGAAGAAACACAGCATTTAGAGAATGCATGCAGATCATCACCTGCCATCAAAAGATCTTCATTACTTTTCTAAATTACTATCAATAGAGGTCAATTCAAACTTGGTCAGGATGAGTTTTATAGCCATCAAAATTGCTCCGAGCTGAGGGAAAATATAAATTTCGACAGTATAGTCCTACATCCTCATCTCGAAACAAATTTAATAACTAAAAATTTCATATAAAATAACTATTATCAAGAAATAGAATACTAACAAAATCAAGCCTGAGATGCTCAGACATGGTTGGTACAAGGAGAAGCCAAAAGACCACATCTGTTAAAATCACAGCTCCGGCACTTATCTGTCAAAAAAATACAAATTTATCAAATTAACAACATCCTAATCAAAGTAATAACTCATAAATTTATCCGTACATAATAATATATATATATATATATATATGAAGCATGATAGATATATTTGGAATCAGGAAAAAAAATATTTGGATTGTGAAAGTACTACTGCCCAAGCAAACTATTGTGATTTGTTGATTATTATAACATAGAACTTCATGGGATGAAGGCATAACAAGGATATGTAAAGCCAACTCCAGATTTCTGTATGTGAAGAGCTTTATATTACAGTTTTAGTGCTAACCTGATAGATGATTTGCATTACATAGCCCCAAAACCCTGCTCTTTTCTCGTGCAGTTTTCCTTCAAAACGGTTTGGTAATCTTGTACCTTCCCTATCTGTATTGCCCCGAACAGTCATGGTTGGTGCGTCACTGTTTACCAGTTCACTCTTGAGGAAGCCATTAGCTGCCTCACTTTCAGTAATATGTGTTCTCGAATATGTCCAGCAACCATGAGCAGATATTATAGTACCAATCTGTAACCAAAAGTCCAGCAAACTAAACAGACAAATATCCAAGTTTCGTGGAGACATATCATTCAATTTGTAAACCTTGATTTATATACAAGGGAAAATAAAAGAAATTTCTTTGGGGAAACATGTTTCAATAATTAGTATAGAGGAAGGCACAGAGCTTCAAAATATTATTTTTAAAATGATCAAACTCATCCTTCTTAGAATTATAAAATTAGAGGAAAGCATGAGAGAGGACAGTACCACAAAGTAGATGATGACTAGTGTAAATGTCCACCTACAATATCATTTAAGGGGAAGAACAATGAGCGCAGATAATCAAATAATAACTTCGAAGATATACATAAAAATTGCAACATATACTAGTGAAGCTAACGGACAAAAAAAAAAAAAACATTTATGCTCTTTCAACATTATCAAGGGTGCTTGCGCCAAACTAGTTTTTCATCAAAATTTTACAGAAAATGCACAATAAAAAAGAAAGAATTTTAACATAAAACTCATATGAATCAATGAGAACTCATAAATCATAAGCATTGCAACTCCAGTATGTAATATTTTTTGGTCAGGCATACTGATTAAGGGAAAACAATTACTCACAACTTCCACTTGAAAATCCAATTTATTTCGTGAAATATTGATCCAAGCGTCACAAACCGATCATCAACGATCAAATTTGTTATGGCTCATAGAAAAACAACTCTCCTTAAGTCCACAAAATTTTTGGAAAACAAAGAAACCTAAGATCTTGTTTAACTAAATGTTAGATCATCACTGATGCTAAAGATCAAGTATTCTTTAAGATTATGCCACTAAGGGAAAGAAACACCTAGTAAACATTGGCATCTCAACAACAATGATAAAAACAATAATGTCTCCCACATATGAAATCTGTCAGTAACTTCATAATAGGAATGGTGAAATATAGAATAAATATACGCACCTAGCATCATGATTTAAATTTAATAAAAGATAGAAATGACACAATTATGATTAATTATCTAATTGCACAATTGAACTCCTATGCACCAGTGATTAAGCAATAGAACTGACAGAAAAGCTACTAGTTTGAATTAGTTAGCTATAAGCTACAAAAGTTTGCACCAACTACATTAAATCGGTTAATCAGGTATTAAACTACAATTAGTTAGCATTAAACAATAAACATTTATAAATGCTAATGTAGAGAAGCCATTGCTGAGCCAATAGCTCAGTTTTACCACATTAAATTGCAGATCAAACATCCACTGTATCGATAAGGATGCCTTGTGAAAGTCAAACAATCATTCATGAACGCAAAAATAGATTCTTTACCATGCAGAAATAAGACTAACTACAACATTCTCTCCTCCAAAAGAAAATCATTCATCAGATACTCTCTTTAGTTTAGGTAAATCATCTACAAAACATAAAATCATACTCAAAAGAAGAAAAAGGTTAATTGGGATCATTTTTCATGGGGAGAGCTAAAGAGGTAGGTCGGAGGAAACATTACTGAGTGTAAAAGTAGAAGGCGAATGCTCCATCAATAAGTACTATCTGGGTAAGCAGCCAGGACATGACCAGGAAGACGAGGCCTCGATAGCCCAGCAACCAGTAAGGGTTGATTATTCTCCAGCTCGGCGCCCACAGATCAAAAACCCTAGGTGGCTGTTTCCCGGCTCTGTAAATCACCGTAACCGCAACAGTTGCCGGGAGGACAGCGATCAGGGCGCAGACCGGCACTTGCCACAACATTCCGCCAAACCACAAATTTCTATCAGCGCAATTGAAACCTAAATCCTAATGCGAAACCCTATGGAGAAGAGAGACAGAGAGAGAGACGGAAGAAGAAGAAGAAGAAATTTATTGTGACTCCAACTGCCAACTCCCGCACATTCGAGAAGAAAATTTTCAAGAGGGATGCGGCTAAGAATTTAGCTCGAACAACTTAGGGCTTGAAAAGTAGGTGGAATTAGTGTGGCGATTTATGACAATAATTTGTCAAAAAAATGGGCCGCAGGTTCAATCACACGGCCCATATTTTTTTCGAGCCTCTCTCGCACCTCTTTCGATTTTCTCTGTATGTATCTCTTTTGCTCATTTTGCAATGTGATTATCTCATGGCTATTTAATGTTTTGCCATTTGCGGTTAGGGTTAGAATGTTGTGGATTTTGGGTTGGTGGCTTTCTCGTTTACCTCCCTTGATTTTGCGATTAGGCATGGTTGATTTGGGATCTGTGGTGGATTTTGCAAATTTTAGAATGATCTGTTGATTCTTCTCCTCTATTGTTTTTCCGAGTGAAAATTTGAAAAAGGATGAAATGGGGTGCTTTATTTGTTGATGAGACTATTTCAGTTGCCTTGAAAATTAAATAAATGAGAGTGCTTGATTTATTGATTGCAATGTTTCAATTGTCATGTTTGTTTGCATGTTGGTTTACATTTTCGGGCTATACTTTCTTTGAATGGAAATTTGAAAAATGGATGAAATGTGGCGCTTGATTTGTTGATGGCTCTGTTTCAGTTGCCTTCAAAATTTGATGAATGAGGATGCTTGAGTTGTTGATTGCAATGTTTCGGTTCATTTACTCTTGTCATGAACGTTTGAGGGAGGATTTCATCATATTGTTTGGGATTACATGTTTTGATGCTTGAGTTGAAATAGAGTGCTTGATTTGTGGATGACATTATTTTGGTTGCCATGAAAATTTGATGAATGAGGGTGCTTGATTTGTTGATTGCAATGTTCAGTTGTCATGTATGTTTGGCTATCATTTTACATTTCATGTTATGCTTTCTTTGTGGGAAAATTTGAAAAATGGATGAAATACTTAGTGCTTGATTTGTTGATGACATTGTTTCGGTTGCCATGAAAATTTGGTGGATGAGGGTGCTTGACTTGTTGATTGCTATGTTTCAATGCATTTATGCTTGCCACGATCGTTTGAGATTCCATGTTTTGATACAATGTTTGGATTAAAGAGGGTATTTGCCACTATATGTAATTGTCAATGGTTAAGACAATTATTAAGCACTATGACACTATGACAATGGTATCTTTCTTTGAGTTGTGGTAATTGTTTTTTTTTATGTCAAATAGTATGTTGTTTAATCCTTTTCATGTGAGTAACACAATGGTTATGACAAAAGAAATCAGTTTACCTGCTATGTGAGATGAAGAAGCCAAACTAATATTTTAACTATTGTTATAGTGCTTAACAATTGTCCACAACCTATTTTAACAAAGAAGGCTGACAAAATATTATAAAAAAAATTGAAGGAATGTACAGGAAAAGAATGCGTTAGAATACAATTGAAAAACAAATGAGAACAATTAAAAAAGGACTTGAAATTTTGTGCTTAACAATTGTCCACAACCTATTTTAACAAAGAGGGCTGACAAAATATTATAAAAAAAATTCAATGAATGTACAGGAAAAGAATGCGTTAGAATGCAATTGAAAAACAAATGAGATCAATTTAAAAAAGACTTGAAATTTTGAAAAAAAAATTGATACGAGAATCTACGAGCTTGGGTTGAGATTTGATAAAATGAACAATTGTTGTTTCAGAAGAACAGTGGGCTGAGAGATTGGAGATAAAAATTGACCCAGAAGGGCTATGATTTCACCATACTAGCGAGTACCACACTAATCTTACGAGAGATAGAGAGATAAGTTTTAATGGGCGTATAATTAGTGTTTCTAGGGTGACAGACTAGATCCTTTTCCAATTTGGTCTAGAGTTAGAACCTGAAGTCCCTGGTAGGTCTTATAGAGGGGCACAGTGGGTAATCTAGAAGTGATATGCTAGAATCTACTCAGCACTACCATGCAATAAGTACCACAATCTAAGGAGAGTGCAAATAGATAAGGAGATAAGTTTTAATGGGCGTAGAATTGGTGTTTCTAGGGTGACAGACTAGATCCTTTTCCAATTTGGTCTAGAGTTAGAACTTGAAGTCCCTGGTAGGTCCTATAGAGGGGCACAGTGGGTAATCTAGAAGTGATAGACTAGAATCTACTCAGTACTACCATGCAATAAGAAACTTACTTTAGATTAGCTAATGCTCTTTATGCACTCGTGAGAGTGTAAAGAATATGTATGCTCCTTTAAACATCATTTAAACCTTTAAACATTTTGATTCATACACAAAATATGAACTCATTACAAGGGGAAATATTCTTTTCATAATAAGGATTCTCTTTTACATTTAGCATAATTTAGAATTTCTACATTTACATTTAGTTTTAAACAAAAATTGTAGGAATTTAGTAGTTTTACTTTACATCTGAATATGCTATTTTATTTTCTAAATTAATTTCTGCAATTTTAAGTAAAACGTTTTACTAAAAGTCTATACAAAGAATTACAGTTTCTCTGTGCGATCGATACTGGAGTTTTTATAGAAAACTCTATATTACTTGAAACGATACGTATGCTTGCGTTGTAACCCTAGTGTGAAAACTATTATTCTATACTTTATTGGGCTAAAATTTTTATCATCATTTGCAATATAAAAATCTGTGTAACGGGTCATGACTTCGACTATTTAAGATGTCATTAACTATAGGGGTTTGCTCCTATAGGGAATATCATAAATTTACTAGTTTGTTTAATTGAGCCTCACTATCTAGTAATGTGTCTATTCCTCGGAATAGGTGCATCACTTGTGGTGTTGTGCTCAATTATTTAAACTATTAAAGTTATGTGATCGGTTCGGTCTCATATTTTTAAAATTAAAAATATTACATTTCAAAATTATATATACATATATAGTAATTTAAACTAGGTGTCAGAATATCCATTCTAGTGACTAACAACTTCTAATTTGGCGACCGACAAATTCTGTGTAATTATTTGATTTCTTAGTATATATATATCCTTTAAGCAAACAACAGATCTCCCGATCTGGCGACCGACAACAGCCACCGCATAACCCCACAACACTATGTGGTACAATGACATTAACACCATAATACAGCCGCAATATTACCACAATAACAACACCAACTTAATGACCCGCGATGACACCACGGCTCTGCGCTATACATCTGCAATAACATAGATGTATTCAATTCCTCGCCAATACCACCTTCAAAACGCCGTGGTACCATGCCAATAACACCACCCTCGCCATCTGTTGTCAATAATACATCAACAACACGCCGAATAACACCACCAATAACACCATTACAACAGTTTAAGTTCAAACTAATACAGTCCAAAATACTTCCTTTTCCCTGAATTTCTCCACATAAAAATGACCAAACTTTGCACACTCTGCACAAATACACTCCCCCAAGTAGTAAATGGAGGAAACCCTTTCCACTCTTGGCTAAAAGCACCTTAATTACTCATGTTTCACTTAAATCAAAATAAAATAAAAATAATACATAATCTCTTAGATAGATACTTAAGCACCCACTCCCCTAAGCTAGCTAGCAACCTCAACAACCTTGGAGACTACCCAAACATGTTTGCATTACTCTAGCACAAGTCAAACTCAAAATTAACCCAAACCCTTTCCATATAAATCTAACCTATGTACACATGGCATAAGGCAATTCACTACACTATTCTTCATCTTTGCACTCCCTCAACATGAAAACAACCTCTCACTCCCAGGTTTGACCCCTTGGCCACCATCTTGGCCTATACATTGGCTACCCTCACAAACAAGAAAGAGGTGTGCACAGAACTTTGACGAAGCCCTGCCAAAATCTCTACAGACCTTCTCACAACCTCAAGAAGCTCATTCCAACCATCTTTGGCCATTTCCATCCACTCAGGAATACTAATTTCACCACACAAAATCAGGACTCTTTTTTCAGCCATTTTTCAAACTCGATCAAAACTTCAAATTAACTATTGCAAAAGCTTCAGCACTCTACAAAACCTCATTCCCAATCAAAATTGAGCCACCTTTTGGTCAAGTTCATGCTTGGACCTATCTTTAGAGGAAGCCAGAACTTGGAGGAGGTTCATGGGACTCAAGTGAAGCATCTACAACCACTCAATTGAAACCACTTGAGCCAAGGTATAGAAAAAAAACTCCTTTTTTGCCTCAATTTGGACATTTGTGAAGAGAATGAACATTTCATGCTTACTTAACCTTATCGATATGTTCTCCTTACTTAGATGAAGCTATCAGATCAAACCTCGCTTGATTTGGTTAATAATTGAGAGAGAACTTGGTATTTGAGGGTGGACGGTTCTCAGGTTAGGGCTTATTTGGGACGATAACTAGTAGTCATTTGTTTCGTGTGTTTTAAATCAACAGTGGAAATCAAGTCAGACGGCGAAACAGAGCTTAAACCGCGAGATGACGGGGGCCTACGTGGAAGGTGCAACCAATAGGAACCTGTCATGTGGTCTTGTTGAGCCAGCGTGGTGCTATTCAAACTATTCACCAGGGTTATTCCAATGTTGTTATGATTTTATTCGAGTTTTCTTGACAAGTTTATTAAGGCAGAACGGCGGGCTGACGAGGCAATGACGTAGAAAACACAGCAAATTGCGGAGCAACGCGTGGCTTTTCAGATTTGCTGAGTATTACGCGGCGCCCACGTGGCTAAGTTAGAAAATCAGGATTTTCTGATTTAATTAATTCTAAAAATCAATTTAAACTTCCAAAAATCATATCTTTGTGTAGAAAAATTAGAAAACTAAAATAAAAATTCCCCTGTGCTTAGTACATAGAGGCTAAATATTATTGGCCAAACTTTAAAAAAAAATATTTAATATTTTATTTAAATTAATTAAAAACCTCAAAGCATAATTTAATCATAAAAATTTAAATGTTGCTCTTTCTTTATTTAAGATATTGTGGGCTTGTTCCTGATATGATTAGAGAGGTTTTCTGATTTTTTTAAAGTCAGATAACACATTTAACCCCAAAAGCCATAATTTTCTAGTGTATTAGTTTCGTCCACTTAAAATATTCATTAAAATTAA